AGAAAGTAACAAGAGCAGCACTTAATCAAGCAACTTTCTTCTTCGATAACCACAGCAACGTACATTCAAGTTTCTGTCTTATACATCAATGGAAATCAGACTGCTAACAGTTGAATGTATCAGCGTCGCCGGTACAAAGCACGAAACCACATCACACTGCTACCAACCAGTACACACTTGTTAGTTGAGAAACACACGCAAATAATCTGCACCGAAGCCAACAAATGTTTAAGCGTTATAAAATCCGCAAATGCACTTCTGTAAGTACGTACGTTTTCACATTACCGAAGCGGGTTGGCGATTGCGAGGTTAGCTTTCAGCGATGATGAATACCGATGTTGAAAACAAACACACTGCAGATAAAAACTGATCCGTAGGCACTACGCGATCTTTTGGGTGTTGTATATGGTGCCTACATTGCGACGGAAACTACTATAGATTTTTTTCAACTATTTTTTCGCACATGAGCTCGTTCATACGAACTCGACGGTAGAGGCCTACGCTGAATACAGACGACACCTCTTTGAATTGACTTCGCGGTAGGCAAGGGCTCACGCTCAAAGCTTCAAACCTCTGAAGCCTGTTTACACTGGTTTTAAAGACACTGGTTCTGACACAAACATTTTTGTCTGTCTGTCTGTCTGTCTGTCTGTATGTCTGTCTGTCTGTCTGTGTGTACATTTGTCTGTTTGTCCTCTCTTAACGCTACCCTAAACAACACCAAAGTGACCAAACGATACTCCAAACAGCAGTCCCCATCCGCAGCGCCCACCATTATTGCTTAATGTTTAGCGTTCCTAATTGTGCGATTGTCAATTGAAAAACGATTATTGCGGATATCTGAGGCACCATAACAACACGTCAATATTTTGTATGTGTGCCTTTTACTAGAAAATGCATACATAAGAAATTCTAAGGACCGTAGCGCTTACCACGCTGCGCTGATCATGCAACGCTTCCACGAAAAGGCAAGTGTTTCTAATGCTTTGCTAAGACGACACGGTTGTGGCCCCTACCCATCGCCTTGCGTTCCATACCTTATCACCTCCGAGACGGGTGCGCAGGGCGCGTACACTCCGTTTTCCAGGATAACTGCCAGACAGAGCCTATGTCTCACGTGTGACGTGACTTGATGCGCTCGTTCACCTTCGCTGCACACTCGAGGCACTCTAACGAATGCGGCACCTCTAGAATACCATTCACCAATTTTCTTGCGCAGGAAATCAAATAAATGTTTTGTTCATTCTCGTTTTGTTGACTATCATCTTTAGACGACATTTGCAGTGCAACATGCAGATACAGGCCAATTTTTATCATGAAAAATCACAGACCAAAGACCAAAGCACAGGAACACCGACATGCTGCAATAGTCTGTACAACGTTTACACTTGGCTGATGATCACACTGCAGGACCTGCGCAAGCGTAGCCGGTTGGAATACGCTGGATTTATTGGCGTCACTCGAACATGGCACGAAACTGCGTCCCAATCGTTGCACTCGCAGTCATTCGTCGTGTCGTTCCATATGACGAAGCGGTCATTCAGGAACGTTTGGGGTAGTTTCCGTGCTTGCGCCCAGCACTCGGCTATGTTGGCGGTGCCTTCGAAGCGGTGGCCATTAGGCTGAGCATTTGGAGGCATCGCGGCCTCTGCTTGGTTGGCGCCGCTGTACGCGTGGTGACGTAAGCGAAAGTGTCAAGCCTCGCTGGATCTCTCGCGCATCGTCGCGTATGCACCTCTGTCTCCTACCCCGAAAGGAGCATTGTACGCTCTTGACGCGTAGGCTTGATCAGACGCGTTCAAGTGGTTAGCACTTTATAGTCACTAGACCACCACGGTGGAAGAGCAAACGAGGTATAAAAATATAAAAAGACAAAAAACATACAAAGAGACAGAAAGATGTAGAAAATGAAAGAGCAACGACAGTAAGAAAAAACAACGAGAATTAGAGATTGAGAGCGAGAAAGAGAAGGAAACGATAAAGAGAAAGAGATAAAAAATAGAGATACAGGAGCGGAGAGAACGATACAGAAGTTTCGGGGCGTTAAACCACTTAAATCAATCAATGAAGAAAATGAATCAATGATGCAGAAAGAGAAGAAAGAATAAAATAAAGGGAAGCAAGGAAGGTCAACCTGCTACGCGCTTCCTTCACGCTTGAATTGATGTGAAGTCACCACAATTTTGAAATGTCTGCGTCATCTCCACTACTACTATGTCAAGGCAATATTGAGGATAACTACATAATAATTTGAGCATGCCACGGGTATGAAGAAAGAAAACATTTTACCCCTTAGCAAACAAGGAAATATTGACCCTTCGTAAACAAGCGAAATTGAGTTTTTGTTCTTATAATAAAATTTATTAAGAGTCACGTTAAAGATGTTGAGAAAATATTCGACAAACATGGTTATGCCGAATGCTCTGTTATCCTTCTGAGCTTCCCAACAAGCCACGGGAGCTATTTTTCACAAGCAGTCAATTTTTTGTTGTTTTAATTTAACACACAAGTTCGCAAAACTTCATGCTTAATTTTTACAAGAACTGCATAAAAACATGCCGAAAATTATGTCTCTTACACGAGACTGGTGTCTTCTTCTTTAGCTCAAGTTTTAGTAGTAAAATTCTTCATCCTCAAAAAATCGTATCTCTATTTTATGCTAAACTGTTATAGCTATATTACGTGCTACGCCTGTATCCTGTCTCTAGACTGCTTCACTCTGGCTGTCTTGGAGAACTGCCTTGTTTATTTTGATTAGGTTTATATTCTTTTATTACGCCAACCTTTTTCTACAGGTAAATTGAGCTGTAAGTGGTAATAGTGTATAGTGCCGCAGTGGGCTTTAACGCTTCGCGAAAGTATAGAATACATATAGACATTCCTAGGCCACACGAGTTCCTTCATGGCAAAAAAAAAGTTTAGAATATTTCATGATAGTGACTATCTGGCTAACGGAACCTTCACGCCTTTAGATAATCATATTACTAAAATTCATAGCAATTCGAACCGCTACATATATACTATGTAATACAAGAGAAGTTACTACCAGCATAGTCACTGTTATAGACCTGTTCCTAATACGGATATGGCGTAAACGGTAATACGCTTACGAAAAAGATAAAACACTACATCGCTATTTGCACCATAATGTGGAAGATCTTTATTAGGGTAATTCGAGTCAGATAGCAGCGAGCTAGATCATCGGAAAATAGAGCAGCGAGTGCTATCAATTACAAAGGTGACTAGCAAAAGCCGCTCAGACAATTAGTGCATAAGGAACAGTCATGTTCATCAGCTAAAGCTAAACCAAAAAGTCATTTTGGAGTTGAAGTAATTTACTTTCAGTAGGACATAAAGAGCTCTTGAGACAGATGACGGATACGAAGCTGTTTTCATTTTGTTTGAAGTTAAGAAATTTTCAATAAAATTTGTGTGCATAGCTGTTTGCGGCAACACAAACACATACACACACACGTATATATATATATATATATATAATATATATATATATATATATATATATATATATATATATATATATATATATATATATATGCAAAAGTATCCAAATAGCTCAAGATATAATTGGCAAATATTGTCCTGGATACACTGATTGCGGTAGAATCTTTGATCTGTACCAAAAATAGTTATTGCCCGAGTACGTTGTATCATATCACGATACCATTTCAAACTATATTTGCCCAGCCATAGTTTCTACAGCTGGTTATTTAACTCTGTTTTCGTTTCAAGCTTATAACCGTCTTACGGAATAATAAAATTTGGGCTTGAATATTTAGCCAACCATGGTACCATAAGTCCTTAATTCCTCTAATCCATTTGCTTACTCAATCGGGACAATGTAGGTCAGTCATATAGAAGTCTGAACTTGATGCTTACGATTCTAGAGGGATGGTCTGAAAATGCAACTATTGTAATCGAAATCTCAGCTAGAATGTCCAGCCCCGGCTTTTTTGCTACATCACCCGCGAAGAATACCAACACTCGTAAATATGCATAAGTAACCTTTGACAATGTCAGAAAGGATTGCTGGATTTCGTGCCGACCAGTTGTGCCCCCGCGATCTCCGACGACAGCGCAGCTCTGGCCAACCAATTCACCCTCCTCCATCTCCTGACGCCGTGAAGCTTTCGCAGAGTGGTGCCCCGTCGTCGGACTCCTGCGAACCTTTGCACCTTTCCCATCTTCCCCTTATTTCTTTACGTGGGTCTCTCTGTCCCTGTCTCTATCTCTATTTCCATGACTTTTAATCCTCCTTATCTCTCTTAATCCCTCCTTACCACCATCCCTCGTGAGCCACTGTTGAGGTGTCGCATTATGATGCAGGTGTTGCATTATGATGTAGACAGTTACGAGGCTCACTTTTATCTTCTTCTTTCTCTTTTAAGAATCACTTCAGCATTTCCGTAAGGAGGATGGAATATTGTGTGTCGTTCTTACTAGCGTACGTGAGAAGGCCAACACGCCTGTAGGACCGAACAACGTTGAACATGAGTTATAGTGCCACTGATTGCACTTTCCTATCCATTGTATTGAGTGACGCTTCGACATTCTTTTCAAATGAATGCTTAGGCCCGACCTCATTTTGATTTTTCTCGAGGTTGGTATCAGGCAGCTGCTCAATTTAGCTTCTCACAGGAAGTTGGCATTCATTCGTGAGCTTGCATCGAGAAATATAGCATCCTGAGGCAGAAATCCAGGTAAATTAGCAACGTCATAAAAGCGTCTACTTGAGGCATGCTGTTACTGGCGACGCTTTGGAACCTAAGTGCCCTATTCTTGAAACACTTCCTAACAAACCCATTTGCTATACATTTATAACTTTGCTTTCGCTATGAAGTTCTGACAAAAAATGTTTACGTCCAATTTGGGCTCCTGCTACTTTTTTTTCTATTTTTGTTTTACTTATATTTTTTTATTCTACCATTTTTCTTCCATTTTTCTAATATTTTTGTTGTATTTCTTTTATTTCCTCCTTAAAGGTCTAGAGCTGGTCGCATTCCGCACTGAGGACGGAATTGCACATGTTATGGACGCTTACTGTCCACATCTGGGAGCCCACTTGGGGGTGATGGGCCGCGTGGTGGGAGACTGCATAGAGTGCCCGTTCCATGGGTGGAGATTCCAGGGAGAGACTGGAGTTTGTACACACGTCCCATACGCTGTCAAAGGTAAGCCATGTGTCCTTTTCTTGTGTATACTAGTTAAATTATTACTGTTCGTAAATAACGCGCGGGAAACAAATTTTACCTTGGTATTTGCTGCGGTACTACTTGCCAGGGCACGTGTAGCAATTTCAACATTTCGCTTGTACTGCATGGTTAGTAGAAAGATGACGCCGTAATATCCATTTTTAATATACGACAGAAGTTCCTTTTCAAGTGAGTTCAGAAGAAGTGCTGACCCAGAACCTAATGATGCTACATCATAGTGATGCCTCTGCAGTCAATTTATAGGTTGCCATGTGATGTGAAAAAAAAACTATTCAAAATACAAGCAATAGTGAATACAATACCGATTTGACTTGTTGTATAAATCTTCCAATACAAACTACAGAGGCTCCACAACAATGCAAAGTATTCACTGTTAGGTGGCAGTCGAGGCCAGGAATCGAAAGCGTCGTCTAATTAGCCATAACATCTGCGCAGGCTACAAAATCGTTTCGTCCCAACCACTTTTACAATAGCTAACTCAATCAAGAGGTACTGAAAAAGTGGTACTTCAGAAATTAGACTAATAGTAAGGCCACGGTACACTGATCCAGACGCCAGGTGAGCGTAAGCAGGACGCACATGAAGAAATTAGTGCCCTACTTCAAGCGTAACGCAGTCACGCGCTCTCGTTCATATAAAAATATTGACTCATCGAAATTGATGAACGTCTATAGACATAGCCACTCAACTAAATAGTTATGTATAGTAATGCCAATAATACATATAATTTGGTTGTATAATACTGAGACAAGTGTTGAATACGTTTCTGTGAATAAATATGAGCCAGATACACCTAACCAACGTGCGTCCTCTACGAACACCTTGTGGTCAAAACAACCAAACTGGTCTCTTCCACTCCGCCCCGCCGCGGTGGTCTAGTAGTTAAGGTACTCGGCTGCTGACCCGCAGGTCACGGGTTCGAATCCCGGCTGCGGCGGCTGCATTTCCGCTGGAGGCGGAAATGTTGTAGGCCCGTGTGCTCAGATTTGGGTGCACGCTAAAGAACCCCAGGTGGTCGAAATTTCTGGAGCCCTCCACTACGGCGTCTTTCTTATTCATATGGTGGTTTTGAGACGTTAAACCCCACATATCAATTAATCAATCTCCTCCACTCCTTTCAAATGCAGCACACCATTCAATAATTAACCTGGTATTGATTAATGTGTTGATCTTTGTTTTGAGGCCTCTAAAATGGGTTACAACCCCAGGCGTGTTTGCTACGCGATCCATGATTATCTTGCAAAGTCCTGCTGAGTTATCTCAATAGCGGAGAATTACTTGCTGACTAATTATCTTCTTTTACCTATTACTCCAGCACACACATTTTCGTATCAACAGCGCTTGCTATACCATAGTGGTGTAGATTAGGTCTTTATAACATCTAGGAATAATCAACTGATATCTTGTCCAATCAGCACGGTGCACGTGGTTATGAGCTATGTGCTTTTTATGGTTTTTTAGCTAGCGATATAAACAACTATCAAAAAAAGTAAGAGTTACCGACTGCACACAAAATTAGAAAAACATTTCTCATACATCATTGAGAATGTGCACTCAGGGCTGATTCTGCGCATATAGCTCAGCCGGGTCTCAATAAAATGCTCAAACTACAAATTTGCAATCTGCAACATTTTCACCTCACCCATTTATTATTCTTAATTCGAAAATTTACATATCTTGGTAAACGGGTAACGCAAAAATGCCTGAAACATGATCATTTGCGAATCAACTGGCAATAGGTCCCTTTAACTTTGCAAAAAATAAGTCTCATGAAGCCTCAGTGATGCTCAAAAATTATTGTTATAAACTGTTATTCTACGTGTTTTAGAGGAAAGTAAAGCGCGTATTTTTCGTTCTATAGTTAGATTCTTGCTTCTCTAGAGCCTTACCTTGACCTATCAGAATTTACAGAATACAGTTGCTGCTATGCCAATAGGGCGTCAAAGTTGCAGTGGCAATGAACCTTGGTAGTGCCTGAAACCTACGGCGCAGATTAGATGGTTAGTAACAAAATGAAGAGGATGTAGCTCATTCTCTAAATCAATTCACCAAAGTGAATATTAAAAAAAACGAGACGCCATAATGGGGATGTTAAGTAAAACTCGTAAATCTTGTAACAGAATAGAAAGTTGGGCGAGTTGGTGTATATTCATATTAAAAGAAAAGCGGCGCACAAAAAGACAGAGACAAAGAAGAGAACCACACACAGCGCTGTGTGTGGTTCTCTTCTTTGTCTCCGTCTTTTTGTGCGCCGCTTTTCTTTTAATCGTAAATCTTTCACTTGATGCAAATTGGAGAATATTAGCATGTGCAACATTTTTTACGTCTATTTGCCATTCTCACTCATTCATGACAATGGCTATAACATGGAAAGAAAGGGCCACCATATCTCACGCTGATAATTGGGTATCTAAACAGCTTTCCTTAATATTAACGTCCTTTATATATAGCTTGTTTGGCCTATGGCCATACACAAGTTGTCAAATGATCTCTTAAGTTTGGAGAGCAAACTCCTATTTAATGCTTTGGATCATCTTCACAAGCGTTTTTTTCAAAACCTCGGTGGTTCATGCTGTAACAATTCAATCTGAAAGCTCTCCTTCTTGTTTGTTTGTTTTTTTTTTTTGGGTTTTAACGTCTCAAAACCACCATATGGTTATCACTCATGAGAGACGCTGTAGTGACGGGCTCTCGAAATTTCGGTCGCTTGGGATTCTTCAACATGCACCCAAATCTGAGAACATGGGCCTACAGCACTTTCGCCTCCATCGAAAATGCAGCCGCCGCAGCCGGGATTTGATCCTGCAAGCCGCTGGTCCGCAGCCAAGTACCTTAGCCACTGGACCACCGCGGCGGGGCTTCAGTGCTAGAGTTGAACCCTTAAAAAGGCCCTGCCACAACTTTTCGAATCAATATCAAATGACCCTAATAAAGAACCCATTTCTTTAGCGATCAACTGTGGGAAAAATTTTAGAATCCGTCAAGTACGAGTTGAGTTACAGGAATTCTTCGCACACTTTAGGTAATTATTCTCTCCGGCCGTACTTACGAACAGGCTAAAAGCTATGCAGAGAAGGGGATGACATGCACGCGTTATGACCTTGACCACTTCAATTTCTCCGCACGCACGGATAGATTTAAGACTGATACACTGATATATAGGGTTTAACGTAACAAAACCACCATATTATTATGAGGGACGCCATAGGGGAGGGCTCCGGAAACTTCGACCACCTGGGGTTCTTTAACGTGCACCCAAATTTGAGCACACGGGCCTAGATCATTTTCGCATCCGTCAAAAATGCAGCCACCGCAGCCGGTATTCAATCCCGCGTCCTGCGAGTCAGCAGTCGAGTACCTTAGCCACTAGACCACCACGGCGGGGTTGCTAGCGTTAAGTGTGATCACGAGCGAGCAAGCACTGCCTTGTCGTGCCATCTCATGGCTACCATGGTTACTATGCAGCTAACAATGCTCAAATAAACTGACTGTTGTAGAATTTGCCTTTAATACGGGGTCGTTTGGGTTTAGAGCATGATTTGTTGTGAAAAAAAGGCAATTTCCGGCCGAGTTTGTTAATTCATTTCAAATACCAGGCTGTGTCCTTAGCTATATATTTTAGCTCACATGTTCTCGGGAACCACAACTGCTTTTCGGCAGAGTTTTCTAATCATGATAAAGAAATGTTGTAGGGCCGTTTATTAGACGTGGTAATTTCTAGCTAATAAATCCGGCGTCGATTCTGCGTGAGTTCCACCTAATCTGTGGATTTATTCATAGTGCTTTCATGTTCAGTGGTATAACTTTTAGATATGCTTAACGTAATGTTTCTTCTTGCGCACGTGCGTGCCATTTAAGGCAGTTACTTTTATTAAACACTATTATTATAAGCACAATAAGCCCCAACACTATTGTTGGAGCTTTAGCGGCTTCTGTAAGACTGCATAGTTGCTAATGTTGCGGAACTTTTTTCTCACTGCGGGATCTCCACGCAGGCCTGCAAAACCTGCTTGATTATCGAAATACTATCACTTCACGCTGTCACTTTTTGATCCGCTCTTAACCTATCATACGTGGCAAAAGCGTTGCACCATTCTTGCCAACGCTTTCAATTTCGTCCACACAAAACCATTACCACGTGCTCTCTGTACCAAACGGGCTCTGTGCTCTCTACAGTTCCAGACTTTGTCAAGGCAACTAAGTGGGAGGCGCGCGAAACTCTCGGCCTGGTGTTCGTGTGGTACCACGCGGATGGTGCGGCTCCTTCTTGGCAGCTGCCGGACGTACCCGAAGTCGAGAAGGGACTCTGGACGCAAGAGGGCCGCTTCGAGCACATCGTGGAGGCACACATTCAAGACATCGCTGAGAACGGCGCTGACATTGGGCATTTTAACCAAATTCATCGCGCTTCGTGCTTCATGACCAGCGAACAGTTCCAGCAAACACTTGGGAATACCTGGTGGGGTCGCTTGGTCAACCACTCCTGGCAGGCAAGCCCTCTGGTGGTGCTACGCACCATTCCACTTTGTACACCCATTCGCAGACAGTTACAAACATTGCACGTATTACGAGCAAAGAGTTGAATGGCGTAGAACCACGACTAGAAATGCCTATCTGTGCCATCGTAGTTTCTGCAGTTCAACATTACGACTCGATCACCCTGCTTTCCAACAGTATAGGCCCATTTTTTTTGTGCAACTACAGTTGAGAAGACAGACCTTCAGCAATGTTATTACGTCTTTGTTAAGCCTAATGTAAGTTATTTTCCCGACGCTAAACTACGATGAATACTTTTTGGCCTATTTTCAGCGGTTACTTACGAGAAATATTCAAAGTTCTTCCTGAAAAGGGTCCCTAAGGCACTTTTTATGTAATCGTTGAATGATATACCATTTACAGACTACATTGTCTCACAAGTGTACTCCCGCAAATGCTTCAAATTCTGACGCTTAGAGAAATCTAACACAATTATCATGATATGTTTAGGGAGATGCCAGACGATTAAATTGTATGGTAAGCCAAGAAATTATCAAAGCTGCTCACTTGAGGTGAAAAAACTCACAGCATATCCACGTAGTAAATATTGATGAGTGGGGCGAAGCGTCCGCCAGCCCGTCCGTGCTTCCGTCCGCCCATTCGTTCTTGCTTTAGTGCGTCCGCGCGACCGACCGTGCGTCAATCTGTGCGTCTGTCCGTCTGTCCGTGCGTCCGTCCATGAGTCCGTCCATCTGTCTGTCCTGTCGTTCGTGCGTCCAACCGTCCGTCCGCGCATCCGTCCATCCAGCCGTCCGTATTCTAGTCTTTCTGTCCGTCCGTTCATGCGCCCATCTAGTGAACACTCAAAGTACCACCATCTCGAATTTCGCATCCCCGGCGCCTCGAGAAGCAGCCAACCATGACATCAGAAATTGTTCCCTCCACGTGTAGCTTAGGAAAGACCTTTGCACTAATTGAATGTTTTCGCTAGTTTAAATTGGTGAAAAAAAACCATGCGTGAAAGTCGTGTACATTTAACGACAATTCTCATTTTAGTGCCGCCTTTCAGAATGCTGCTCTAAATCTTCCACTTATTAGTTATATTCCCGCTCTAGTTAAGTTGGCCTTACCGGAGAAACTGTTCGGAGATTTGTGTCAGTGCCAATATATGACATAATTGGTGCGGTACGTGGCACCATTTGATCCCGTACTTTCAAATAAGTGTTATCAGAGTCTTTATTACAGTTAGGGTGTTTTATTGAAAGACATGGCTGACGAATCCTATGCACTCATCCACAGCAGTAGTATTTGCCTTATCTAGAAAAAGGTTTACACTCGTGCCTACTCACAAGTATTCCAAAACAGTATTGTTCATTCACCATTTCAATATTTATTGGTGGGAGGCGTGAATTTCATAGAAAAAGGGATGCCTTGACCCACATATACTTCTCCAGAGAAGTTCATGATAAGTATATTTGGTGTAGTCATCTCTTTCAAAATATGTCGTTATTATTCAACACCTTATAGCCACCTTTCGAAGGTATTATACCAAAGGGCGCCAACAAGTGGACCAAATACGTGAAATCTTACTCTTTATGGGCAATGAGATTACGCTAGATAATGCTAATTATTAGCTAGAGGATTCATGTGAAGACTCCTTCAGACTCACTCACACACTGAACTATGAGCATGAATGAGTGCTGGTGGGGAATATTTTTGTGGTTTTTAGTCTGAGTGATTCCGAGTGAAGAAATTTTTTGTGAGTGGAAGGCTGAGTGAGTCCTACTTAGTGAGTGAGTGAAACAACTTTATTGACGATCCGGCACAAAGGGGGAAAGGGTAGGGGGATTAAAGCGAGACACTAGCGTGCTCGGACGTCCCGGAGCAGCAACCTACTCGCGTCAAACTCGTGGGGGCGCCGTTTTCGGCCGCTGGCGTTCCAGGATGCTAAGCACGTACTTAAATGCTAAGTACTTAAAAAACCTTTGCGCAATGTGAGTACACGTGAGTCCTAAGAGCAAAATATATTTTAAGGGTGAGTCTGAGTGAGCTGCACAATTTTTTCCGACCTATATATGATTGAATGGAATATTTTTGTCAAGCACTTTCGATGAAAGAGACTGCGGAGGAGGAGACGGTTGGGCACATCCCCCCTGACACTCCATAGCTCAAGCCTCTGATCAATCTATATTGAGCTGGCGTATGAATGCCATTCTGATACATGAGCGTGGAAGAGCTCACGTGCTCCTGTTGCCTTTTTATTTAGCATTTTATGAAAGAAATATCATGAATACCATGGATTGGTTGTTAAGTCGCATTTTATTTTGCAATTTTGCTTCTTTAGTATTTTAGCTCTGGTTCAGCATGTTTTAATGGAATAGAAAATTTAACAGCCCGAAGGTTGCTATGCGCTGCTGCTGGCATTGAGAACCTCTGTGGGAGCATTTCCCGTTTGGTAATTCTTTGTTTTCACAGCCTCAGCTTGTTAAACGCGAGACACTTGCTCGGTTGGTAGTGTTAGGGCGAGATCACGCCGGCACCAAGTATTGCATATACCCATAAATTCAGAATGCTGTTTCACAACTAAGGTTCCCTAAGGCGCAAATATGACTACGGTATACTTAGCGCAGGGAAGTTGTGAAACGGCTGGAGGTTGCGTGAAATGGTGGTTTGGCTTGACGCCCAAGATAATATTCATGGTACAGGTGGCAATTGTTCAAAGCGCCAAATTGAACCATTCCTTTGCACGTTTTGTAGATACGTTCTGAGGATGGTGCAATCCGCATCGCACATTGCGTGTGACATTCATGCAAAACGTAAAACTAATTCGACGCAGGCTACCTGGACTCCTCATGACCACACGGCTTCGGTGGACGTGGCAGCCTGTGTGTCAGTGCTTGGCACCTGTCCCGAGTTTCTCAAGCATCGTGTTGAGGTGCTTCAAGTGGGGCCCGCTCTGGTGCTGGTGCGCTTGCATAGCCGTCACGGTGGTTGCCTCATCGTCCAGTCCTTGACGCCCTTGGCACCCTTCCGAGTGCACCTTGTCCATCGATTCTACCCTGAGCCCAAACTGCCTTGGATTATCCGGCGTCTGAACGTCCTGGGCTTCAGACATATGGTGGGGCCCCGTAGTGTTTTATTGCCTGTTTCATAGCCGCTTTGGCACGTATGTGAATCATAATTAGGTAGGGAAGTACAAAGTGATCCTAATGAAATAAACACGCGAGCACGCTTCGGAAGAGGACGACAGCAGACGCGTGCCTATCAGCTTTGCAGGATTATTTTATACACGAGTGCATGACGCAAGAGGTGGACGACACTTCTCTTGCGGCCTCTTGCTTGGCTTAAGTGATAGAGGTACCCAATATTACACTAGAGAGAACTTTGCCACTAGTGTCTATGGCAGCTGCAACGCATTCAACCAGCATGGAAATGATGGGTAGTTAATAGATTAGTCTAATCTTCACTCTTTCGGCTCCGTGTGGCACCGCGTGGCCTTGAGCCCATTTGTTGCAACAATAATTTTTGCAAATGTTCTGCAGTTCAACTTCTAAACTTCAACCTTTTAGGCTTACTGATTATAATGTGGTCACAAAGTTCTGCACAATACATTATTTTATCCAAGCCAAATGCAAAAATACATCAGGAATGAAAGCCAAAAGTCCGTTCAAAGCCGCAAGCATGAAGTTTAGATAAATTCATATTCTACGTATCACTCCAACGGTCGCCGAACAATCGCAGCGCCAGAATTCCCACTAGATAATAATATGTCTATTTGCCATCTTTTTCAGGTACAGAAACAGGTATTGCAAAAAAAGGCTGCCTTCGGACACCTTGACTAGCCTACAGCTTTATAGCCCTTTGTTTTTGGCAGTGATGTGTGTGTGTGTTTGGGGGAGGGGGAGAGGGACGCTATGATGACTGGGAGACGTGGCCTGGCTCATAAGCCATGTGTTTATGCCATTCTCACTTCTTCCTTTTCGGCCTCTACTAACCATCGATACCTTCTTACGTCACATAATTCCCCCTCCCACCCAAAAAAATGTGCGAGTTACAATCAACAAAAAAGCGAAAAGCAGAGTATTAAAGCTAAAAATGATATATAGTGCAGTAATTTTATTTCCGAAGGCAGTTGCTCAACTCGCACCGTAAATTTTACATCAGAGAAAAGCAGTCTGGTGATATCTTTGGGAGCTCAGGTGGGCGAGGCTCATTATGGCGTTCTGGACATAATAACCACGTCCTGCACAACTGCACTGACCATGACACGGCTCGAGCAGCTGCGAGGAATGAACAAGCTTGGATGTCCTGGTATCATTTAAAGGTTGCATGTCATAGGCACTGAATCCTCTGTCGTAGGTGCTGTATGCTGTGTTGTGGCTGAGAGAGAAGCAGTGCTTCCAGCCTGCGGGTGCGAGAACCGAAGTTGATAGGATGTTTGTATTCCTGCGTTGTACAAATGGTAGCGTTCAGTCTGTTTCTTAGTTTTCTCTGGTGTTTTCTTCGTTGGTGGGATCGTATAGGTGATTTGTGCATATGTGGTGTAGAATACTTCCTTGGTGTTTTTTCTGCGAAGATGGCTCAGATGTTGACCCTTTCTAACTTTTAGTTGGTGTCGTTGCTGACGACGATCCTTATGCCACAAATGTGCTTGCGATCTCACTTTAGTTCATCGTTGTGCTTGTTGACGTAACTGTCGTAGTTTCTGGAGTTCTTGATAACACTGCTGACTTTATGAATTCTGACAAAATGGTATTCCTTTAGTAACACGAGCCTGTTTTTATTTGTAAGTTGATGTTACTAGTAAATAGTCTGTAGTGGTTGGGTTGTCGTGATTCTAGTGAGACAATAAAGGTTGTGAATCAGAATCGACAGGAAGATCTTCGGAACCACTTGTGATGCCATTCTTAATGGATGCTTCTGGCTGGCGGCAATGAGAGTGAGAATAGATGATTTTAAACCTCCTGCGTTGTTTGGACTCTCAGGTGGCCAGATACTAAAAGGTGATACCGCGACAGGCGTAGTTTGGTGGGTTTTTATTTGGGAATGTCGGTCCGTCTGCACAACTAAGGAGCTGATCTCTCGTAACGCGTGAAACTGTATTGAAGAGTCATGGGGTCAAGACAAGTACAAATAGATGTTCTCATCGAATGGTGTGACGGCCGATGCAGGCAATGTTGCGTGAAGTGATGTATTTACCGAAATGAAGGTGCTGATAAAATATCGCCTGCGCGGTCATGAATGCGGAGTCCTTAAAGACCCATGAAGCTAAGCAAAAGCCATCTGCTTCGCTGCTTCACTCATCTTCACGACGTTAGGTCGGTTATGTGCGCTAAATTTTGCTCTTGAATATTACTTTCGCGCACTCTGACTAGCAGCTTGTTCTTGTATCACTGCATCGTCGCAATGCTGACTGCGATTGGAATACACGGTAAAACAAAGAGTATAACGCTACAGATCACTGTAGCAGAAACAAAGCTGCGGCCACACCACCCCGTCAACGGCTGGAGCAGGCGTTGAACCGGATAATAGGGAGTTTTAGAATACCGTTTACAAGCGCTGCGGGCGTTGCGGGCGTAGCGGGCGCCATATGAGCTTTAGAATAGCGTTTGCCCTGCTGCGATCCGCAAAGCATGATCGCAGCGACACCATAGCCTCAAAACCAGCACTTGCGTGCCACATGCGGGCCGCCATCACCGCCCGTAGCCTCAAAACCAGCGCTTGCGAGCCACATGCGGACCGCGATCGCCGCACGCTATTTCGTATTTTCTGCGTGCGGTCCACGAACGCGAACGCGGACTCGCGTTACGACGCACGCGCAGTGGCAGCGACCACACCGCAAGGGCTCGCGGTGCGCTATTCTAAAACTCCCTATTAGCCAGAGTGCAAACGCCGTGAAATCCCACTGCCTAAGCCACCTGGGCTGCCTGGTCCGCCGCGCGTGCGCAGCGGACGCCGAGCGCGAGAAACCACATGGCTTCGTGTTGCATGTCACTGCGTGCGCTGGAGATGTATCTGAAATGCTCACCTGTTTGTTTGCGTGTGGTGCGCGTTGCTTCTCGATCGGTCGGTTTTTTTGTCGGTTTTTTGTTGTTAGAAATGTTCCGCCACTCTGGGCTCGTCCTGTGTGTTCTGTCAGTGCTGCTTATTACGAGGATGCACCGTATTGAAGGGAAGACCTGCGGATTATTGCTGTGGGGCTTTCGAAGTGAAACTGTAAGTATCACTCTCACGTTGCTGTGGTCAGCGCTTTGTTATCTGCTTGAGCACGAGAATGACGCCTTTAAACATTTTTGGTCTTAACTAAGTGACAAAAAATTCCGCCATATCCACGAAGTGAATGATGATGAGTGGGCGAAGCTCCGGAGGTAAACTTGGTAAACCATGAATCCTCTGTACATTTTGCCCACTCGATTTTATTACATCGCTCCCCCTAGCGTACGTCGCCGCACTAAATCGAACGATTGCCTTCAACCAATGACACGCGCCATGTGTAACATCATTCCTATTTTATAAGATCTCGCGTCTTTCATCAACTACAAGTACCGCTTTCTAGTTTATAACATCATGCATCTTTTCATCATCAGCTACAAGTACCACCATCTAGTAAACACTACAAGAACTAAACGAGAGGTGGCTACATACAGGAGACGGTACCGCCATCTAGTGAACACTGCAAGAACTAAACTAGAGGTGGCTACATACAGGAGACAGTACCGCCATCTAGTGAACACTGCAAGAACTAAACTAGAGGTGGCTACATACAGGCTACAGGGGACGCACAGCCCACGCCCTAAGGAGCTTCGCCCCTAAAAGTGAGCATTTGTTTACCTAGTGAGCATATTTCCGTAAATTGTTTCACCGGGATGATGAAAAAGTTGTGTGAGTGCGCGAAAGTTTTAGGTTGCTTGTAGTAGAAAGAAGAGTGCGCACGCCCGGATGTGGTTCTGCGAGTAATTTGAACAGAAGTACAGTGGTGCTCTTGTATGTTGGCAATGGTGCTTGGAACTCCGCTCACTGTGAAGATCTATTATGCTTTATTACTACTTGCGTCGGTATGGAGCCTGTTAGCTGTAAGCGTCGACCGTGTATAAGACGGTCGACGCTTACTTACAAACAAATGAATTACCACCATGATTGGGCATGGTGGTAATTCATTTGCGCTTTTTTATCGTATAAAAAAATTCAAGATTGCAAACACGAGCGTGGTGTCCACGTTCTTCTATTTGGTCCTTGCTATTTTTGTGCACGAAAGATACCGCGATACTTTAGTTGACGTATGCGGTGACAATACAGCAGAATGCTTCGTGTTAGGTGTGCCTTGCGAAGCTCGATACACTTCATTCCGCCATTTGGGTGCCCGTTAAAGGACCCCAGGTGGTCAAAATTTCCGGAGCCATTCACTACGGCGTCTCTGATAATCAAATGGTGGTTTTCGGACGTTAAACCCCACATATCAATTATTCAATCAATCAATCAATCGTTCAATTTCGTCAAATTTGTTCTTACCGACGTTTTTGTTCACCTGCAACGTAGGTTACGTGACACTACTGGCAGCCGCGAATGTGTAGCCGATTGTTGAGTCGTTCTTATGTTCGAAGGGGTCTTTCATCTGCGTGCGTGTGGCCGAATAGCCATAATTGAACTGTGAGAACGCTGGCGCTGAAGTTCGAGCACAGGCCCCGCCGCGGTGGTCTAGTGGCTAAGGTACTCGGCTGCTGACCCGCAGGTCGCGGGTTCAAATCCCGGCTGCGCCGGCTGCATTTCCGATGGAGGCGGAAATGTCGAGGCCCGTGTGCTCAGATTTGGGTGCACGTTAAAGAACCCCAGGTAATCAAAATTTCCGGAGCCCTCCACTACGGCGTCTCTCATAATCATATGGTGGTTTTGGGACGTTAAACCCCACAAATCAATCAAGTTCGAGCACAGTTTATTTTATTCTTCTTGTTTCCGTCAGGCCTAACTTTCATCATACTCTTATTATTCGCAGTTATATTAATGTCGCCCTGCTTCGGCGTTTAACCTCCCAAGGTACTTAACTTCGCAAAGTACTAGAGATGTTAGAAAAATTTTCGATATGTAAAACACGTCAATACTTTCTTTGTTTCACAATAAACA